ATTCACCCTAATATAATAAGCAAAGGGACTGCCACCCACTAACTTTTTTGGCTCCCAAATATTTTTCCTCTAATCTCTTCTCTTTCTCCTAAGGTTCCAAACYTGAAAACAAAGTCTAACCAGTACCAAGTACGTCAACAACTTGTTGTCAGAGAACCATTCAACCTAAAAGCTTAAGCTGTTAGATGAGGTCCTTGAATAGGTTGATATTCTCTAACATGCCCCCTCACACGAAAGTTCATTGGGCTTGAAGTGTGAACAAGCACAGGCCCACCCATACCTTGTACTGAAACTTAATTAACTATAATGGGGGTAATAAGAATCGAACACTAGACCACTTGGTCAAAAGTGGCTCTGATACCATGTCAGAGAACCATTCAACCTAAAAGCTTAAGCTGTTAGATGAGGTCCTTGAATAGGTTGATATTCTCTAACACTTGTCACATGGATCTGAATTTCAGTTTGTCACTTGAAAGACCAAAGTGTTTGTATTAAGGATGAGGCTACAATCATATATTTTGTACACTCAGTTATATACCTCATGAACTCTCCTTTTTTTGTTAATATACAAATCTTTGTTATGTTCGTAAGAAAGAAAAAAAAAACAAAAAACCAATGAAGGAAAAGAAAAGAAACATTAGTTGCTCCTTCAAGGTGAAATATTCCAAGTGTACCTCTCGAGAGTTTGCAATGTCCATGTTTCCAAGAAAATGATTCAAGTACCCTTGCATTGCCACCTTTGATCTGTCTGAAATAGAGTGCTGCCTTCCTAGTGCTGGGCGGATGATAGGTAAAGCTGCACTTGATGGCACATCTCTGCATAAGAAACCAACATTCAATAATCAAAAGAGTTCCAGATGAAAGATGTACTTGACGCTTAGCATCCAACAAAACAAGTGATGAACCATTAGTAGTAACCTATTTTTAGCACTTTCATCATGATGTAAAGGAAGAGCATCATCATCTGCTTCATCATCATCCTGAACAACTGTTGTGTGATCTCCTATGCCAAGATTTTGAAGCCACTCTTTTACCTTTCATGCAAGTTTGGGAAAAAAAAGCAAAATCAAAAAGTAATCTAATTGAGTGTTTGAAAAATAGGTGCATTTAGAAGTCATAGAAAGTCACTAGGAAATGTTGGAAAATGTAACTGAGAAAGAATGATGCCATCAAAAGAACTGGAAAACCTGCTCTTGTTTCTCGTTAATCTCCTCAATAAATGCACGTTTCTTCAGTGCAAAGTGCAAATAGATAACTTGTGAAGCTTTCTTGAGTAGACGCCATTTGAACTGGAGAATAGAAGCATGCAATTAGTTTGCCACATTATTCAGGTAATCTCTTTCCACTACAGAAGAAAACAACTAAGCTATATTTCCATCTGGGCAGAAATAGAGATGAGGTGGAACTAAGGAGAGTCAATTCCATAAGGTTGTTTTTGGATTGGTGCAGAAATGTAAAAGCAGTATATCTGCTACTTTCCATGTTCTGTTGTTTGGCTCCAAAAGATAAGCCATGGGGTATATAGAAAGTAGTGATCTCTTCTGCAATTTCCATCAATTGTATGGACAATAAAATGACTGGAGAGGAAGCTAGGACCAAATCATGGATTCCTCCTTGAGTTTCTATTTCAGTTGCCCAATCCAAAACATAGCCTAAGTCAGATGCTGCTGTTTGGGTTATTTTCATAGCACAGCAGAATGCAGAAAGTCAATGCCATATAGTTTTTCTAAAGTAAAAATAAAATTTATTAAAAGAAAAAAGAAGCTATTAGAAAGGTGATAATGAATCACCCAAAGGGAAAAAAAGAAGCAATAATTCAATCAATAGAACTCCACTTCCACTCCAAAAACCAAAACGCCCACCCCAAGAGGCAAAACAACACCAGCTCAAAAAAGAAAAACAATGTGGGAAGACTTCATATTTCTCCTCACGCTTGTTGTTTGTGCCTGCAAGATGGAGAAATAGCTGACCACCTACTTATCCATTGCTCAAAAAGGTCTGGCTGCATTTCATAAACCTAACAAATTACCTTTGGATTAACCCAGAGCACATTCAATATTTTATTAATCAGTGGCAAGGCTGTGGCCTAGGCAAAAGAGGCAAAGCCTACTGGCAAATGGTGTTATGGGAGGAAAGAAACAAGCGATTATTTGAAAACAAGCTCAGAACTCTAGAAGAGTTAATTTCAGATATTACCTATCTCTGTAACTTTTGGGCTGCTAATTTGGAGCTGTTCCAAGGTCTCTCAATCAATGACCTTAACAGAAATTTACAAATTATTCTTTTCCTCCCTCACTCTGCTCAGAATATCTTAAGACAACCAGCTTTCTTCAGTGAAGGAGGGATGATTTTACACTTTGATGGGAGTGCTGCAGGCAACCCAGGGTTAGCTGGAATTGGGGGTTAAGGGATGAAAGAGATAATATTTGCTGGGTTTTCAGTGGCCCAATCGGATTTACTGACTCAACTAAGGCTGAAGTGTTGGCTGCTCTCACTGGAATAAGAATAGCAAAAGGCTTGGGTTTTCAGAACCTCTCCATTGTAGGGGATTCAGCAAATACCATTAAATGGCTACAAGGGGATCCTTGGAGGTTAACCCATTTTTTGGCAGAAGCAAGGGATTCCTCGGATAGTTTAAATGCAAACCTGTTTTGGATACCAAGGGAGCTAAATCCTATTGCAGATGGCTTAGCTAAATTTGGTGCTTGCTTAGAAAATCTGTATAGTGATAGACTCCCTCCTTTGTAATCTCTTTGGGGTTCTCCCCTGCTTTGTACATCCTCTCATGTAATCTCTTATTTTAATGAAATCTTGTTAAACTTTCCTCAAAAATAAAATAAAATAAAATCAATACATCAGAACAAGCAACACCTCACCTTCCAGAATCTTTGAACAAAACCTAAAACTCAACTGAGAGGCCACCAACTCGTGCCAAAATCCACAGCCCCTAAGTCCTCATTCGACCAACTAAAATCCTCTACCAATGCAGTCTTGACTCCATCTCAAAACCATGCAAATCTTAATCCACTAGCTCAGCTTCTATGTTGGCTTGATTTAAGTCCCTTTTACTTCTCTCATTGACCTCTCTAGATTTCTTTTTCTTCTTATTAGGTCTGACCCCAAATAATCTCCCTTTCATCCTAGCAAAAATTTTTGAAACTTGGATAGCTCTTTGGCTTTTTGACTTTTGAAATATTTGACAGCATCAGAATTCATTTTTGTCTAAAACCTCAGGACCTATCATTGATCCTTGTATTCTCCACATTGCCATCTCCATCCTTTTTGACATCACCACCCTTTATGACAGTATCTTCCTTACTAATTCTCTCTTCCTCCAATTCTTTAAAATCCTTTCAATCTCCTCCCCGCCCAAAAAAAAAAAAAAAGAACCCAACATTTTTCTAACCTTTACATCAACATCCACCACCTTCTCCATTTCAATTGAATTTTTCATCAAGTACCATATCTTCAAACTGATCCTACCCATCTTCCATCTTCCCATCAGAATCACCATTTTCTTTCAGTGATCTTGCTCTGTACTTTTTCCTATAGTAGACCTGCAAAAGTGGCTGATCCACATCCCCCCTCCTTCCCCCCCTTCAACACCTAATATGTTAACTTCCCTCTCCAGCACCTCGGACAACTCCACTCCCATTTGTATATCATTGCTTTCAACTCCTGAAGCCAAACTTTTATCTTCTAGATTACAACCCCCAAGAACTTCCAAACTTGTATTAGACCCCAAATTATTACTTGAACCAATGCCTACATTTTCCATCAGCACTTGGTCGTTTTGACTTGCCCACATTATTAATCACCTCTCTGGTTCTTCAGTTTGCAGGCCATCTCTATTTTCTCAATCTTCATTAGCATTTGTGTCTCTATCAGAAGATCCTTCGGTCACCTTTCAACCTTCAACCCTTGGCATGTTTCCCTCACTACACAACCATCATTAGAATTTTTCTCTGTTAGAGTTAGCCGAATAAGGGTAGATTAGTCAACTCACCTTGGTTAAGTTATGAGCTTATGTGGCAGTCTTATTAGAGGTTCTCTGTCCCATACTTAAGTAGGGGCAGTTTAGTCCTTGTACATTTAATTAGAAGCCTAATCACTATTAAGAGGTTCGACAGTTCTTTCATCTTCTTCTTCTTCTTCTCCTCCTTCTCTTTCTTCTTCTCCTTACTGGTTCGGACTACTGTAGCAACAGTAGAAACATTCTCAATGGCCATGATCTTCACCTGCCAACACATACCTTCAGGTATGTGTGTTTGGGCTGATTTGGGCTATCCAAAGAGCTATCTGAGTTTCCCTTATTAAGTCCTACAACCCTTGGCATGTTTCCCTAAGAACCTTCATGGTATCAAAGCACCAAGTCTGCCCATTGTCTTTGGTTTTGACCAAGATCCTTGCATGCTATAAATCTTCCCATGTTCTATTCTGTATCATATTTCCTGAAGATCCCACATTTATTGCCAAGCATTTTGAACATTTGAGTACACCATGCATGAAGTGAAATCTCGAATACGTTGATCAAAACAAACTCCTCCCCGGCGTGTTTCTCACTTAACCCACCATTAGCATCCATTTCCCCAACCTCAGTAGTTCTAGAAGCCAATCTGATTTATCTATCTCACATCTCAGCAAATCCTCTACATCTTCCTTATTCTTAAACATGAACAAAAAATAATCCTGCATTTAGACTTCTAACCTTCTTGAAACCTTTCCGCTCCCATTCTATTCTTGCTCAATCAAGAACATCAGCCTTGTATGATAGAATTAATGAACCTTCCAAACAGACAAGATTCCAATAGTTCCAATCTCTCTTTGAGCTTACATGCAATATTCACTACCACACTTACGCACGCCATTGTACACAATATGACCAAAGTTGTTCCAATTTCTTCATGAAAGAAAAAAAAAATCAGGTTGGATGCACTCAGCTGGTTCACAACATGATTACAGTCGTTTCAATGTCTTCATGAAAACAAAGAAATTCAGCTGCAACATTAACTACCACACCTATGCGCACCATTGTTCACAGCATGACTACAGTAAGCTGGGATAAGACTGTCAAGTTCAGTTGAGTTGAACAGAATGCATAAACTAGCAGATTTTAAGATTTCAATTCCATTTTGGGTCAGATCTGAAATCCCTGAGGGGTAGTCATCTGAATTCCATGGAAGATGGGCATAGAGTTCAATTGCAATTTCACTCCTATGATCCAGAATACAGCCTTGTGCATTCAACAAAGAGAAATGCACCTTTCTAACAAACCCATGTTATACCAAGTGAAGAAAATGGAATGGAACTAATCATACCTAGTACCACAGATTTATTGAAATTTGCATTGAGATAAAGATAACACAAAATCCCATGAAAAGGTCACTGGCATGCCATTGATTACTCAATAGACAGTTTTGTCATTCGTCATGGACTTATGTAACTTCATTGCTTGCAGAAGTGGTTTCATATGGTTAATCATGAACTAGCGAAATAAAGCGCAGAAGGCATCTAATTTCAGATTCTCAAGATACAAAAGACAGGGGATGTGAACACAAAAACAAAGCTTCTAAGTTGCATTAAATTCCTAGTCCAGCTACCTTCTATTTGAAACCTATTTATCTAACAGTCAAAGAGTGCATGTTGTTCTCCATGATAAACTTGATGAAAAAGACAAGAAAGTGAGTGGGTTCATATGTTTATATAACATATTATAACTCTCTCATCTCATCTATGTAGATGCCTAAGAAAGCCAGGATACTGCATAGGTAATTCTGTCTGTGAAAGTAATATCATCAACTTATAACAGCACATAAGTTGTCATCCACTTTCTATTTTTACAAAAGAAGAATGATCCACAGCACTTAAGGTCTAAAACTTCTAAACCAATAAAAATGACAAACCAGACTTAGTCCCTTGGTGTCTTTACTCTAGAATGGAAACAAGATTTAAATTATAAAAGTTACATCCTGAATATATGCAGCTTTCTTGATTATCTTCTCAAAGCATCATATATTAATATTGGAGTTGTAGTTGTTTTATTAACTGCTCCAAATATTCCACCGTAAATAAATGCCCACACCGGAAAACCAATCATGCAATTAGGTGCTCCAAAACCCAGTAAGAATTCCACTTAAAACACCATTGTAATTGACCATGCTAATTCATTTCCCAGTAAAATTTGGTTCAGTACATTTGTCATAATTGGTTAAGAAACGCGCAGCTGTCCATGGTGAAAAATATTAAATTGAACTGCATTTTCTGCAATGCATTTATAAAACTAAAACAATAATATTGGAAAGATAAAAATAAGTAATATCTGGCTCCTTTCACGGCAATTAGCATTCAAGAGGACACGAACATTGTAGAGAATAAACTGCTATTTCCATATCAAGGTCGTGTAATCCCTGCGTTAGTAAGGCTTCTTATGGTTAATGAATTCTTTATATTATAAAGCACGCCAAATTTTTCTATTTTACATACTGAAGCATATAAGCTGTATACTTCAGGATACAATTTTACACGATTCCAAAAATAGAAGTATCCAAAAAATAATAAATTAAGAATGTGTTCGTTCTAATAATGGTGCAATGCATGGAGTTTAAATCTAAATAGGTTCAAGCCTAAATCTTCAATGGCGTAACTACATCCTTAATTGTTCAATTTTCCCATAAAAACAACAAAGTTCAAATGCTATGTAGAATTCGAAAAATAGAAAAAATAAATAAATCCTTGAAAAGGAAACAATGCGTGCCTGTCTATACTGGAATTCAATGGTGTAGGACAGAAGCATGGGGGTGATATCGCCGACATCGGGCCGAGAGACGGAGATGATCGTCGCCTTTGGCAATTCTTCGAAAATCCATGTCGGTTCGGAACCTTGACGGAAAGAACGAGGAGAGAAAATTGTCGACTGCTCTGAAAGCATTTGAACGTAGCGAGGGCAGCCAGTGGGAATGTGTTGGTCAGATGCAGGCATTAGAATGCGAAATAAATTCTAAATTTCTAGTCTCAGATCGGGAATATCCCATACGGATAGCATAACCGGCAAACCGCTTTTGCATCTTTCTCAGGCCAGTTTCAGGTTGTCACTGTCTATCGAGAAATGAGAGAGAGAGAGAGAGGGATTTTGTTGATTGCTTTTCCGTTTAAAGCTACAAAAAAGCAATAAACTACGTCAAAGTATGAAGCTCTCCAAAGTTTCTCCGAGTTTTGCTTTGGACACTCATCCTGCAGTTAACGTATGGTTCCCTATTATTTAGATAGGACAAAATGAAAGATTTTACTCTTTTGGTAAAATACATAAACCTCCCCCGGAAAATTTCTGATAATCACAAAAATGTCCCCTATAGTTTTAAAGGAGCTGAACAAAAACCTTCCTTCCGTTACTGACCTAGTGCTTAACAAAAATCAATGCATCATTTTTTTCAAATACCTATTTTACCCTTTTATAAATTAATTTTAATATATTTTTATTGAAATGCTCTTATTTGCACTTGGGGGCATTTTTTTCTGGATTTTTATTGAAATACCCTTTTCTGGATTTTGAGAGAGGAAAAACTTAATCTGGATTTTGATTCTCATTGACCAAAAATCTTATGGCTTTTTTTTAGATTTATGTGGGGATTAGAAAAAGTTTGTTTTTCAGGGTATCACTTACCCCCATCTCCTAAGTGAGTAAATAACCTTCCCACCTTGAGGGAAAATTGTCAACACTTGAAATAGACAAAAATGCCCCTTATAATAATAGATTTTTATGGATAAAATGGTCATTCTCTTATTTACATAAGAAATAAAAGAACATGAATAAATGCACTTACCCGGATAAATCTTTCCTTTCATTTATTCGGATAAATAACTTACCGAAATGCGAACGAGGCCTTGATATTAATGATGCTCCCCTTATCCACACTCTCTTAAGTCTTCCTCTGATCATGATTGAAAGCCAACCTGTCGTAAGCTTCAACTCAAGGAGATGAATTTATCACAACGAACCCATGATTTACAGGTTAAGCTTCAATTAAAGGAAATGGATATTCAAATGCCAAGAGACTGAGTACAAATTTGGAGAAAAACCAGGTTTGGGAGCTATGAAAGAGGATTCATGAACAGGAAGCGACCATTTTGGTCACATGTGGCAGGATTGAGGCGTTGATAGGAAGATTTTTTTTGTTGATTTTCATACAGGGGTATTTCAATAAAAATATATATAAACTAATTAACAAAAGATAAAATGGATATTTGAAAATTGATGTATCAATCTAACGTTGATTAGTGATAGAAGGAAGGTTTTAGTCGAGCTCTTTAAAAGTTAAAAGAAGGTTTTTGTTAAGTGAAAGTTGTGAAACTATATGAAAAGTTATGATTGTCACAGAAAGTTAAGGGGAGGTATTCTACCTTATTCTTTTAAGCAATGTCTTTCCCCGATTATTGCAAAACATTTTTTTAGTTTTTGCCTTAGATTATGGGCCCTTTTGTCTCAACAAACTAACTCGAATCCAATATTTGAGATTAATTGATTGATTAATCAAGGTCACTATATGTCACTATTCAAAAGAAAGAATAAAAAAAGGTCGCTTTTTATCACGTGAAATTCACTCTCCAACATTCAACATGGCTCGGTCTACATGAATGCAATCTATAGTAAGAGGAAACAGGGGAGGTTTGGGGTCGTCTCATCGCAAAGCTGTTCATACATACATGCCTCCTCCTTTTCATTATCACACGTATACATATTTATTCTTTAAATGAAATAATTAGAAGTATAATTAGATCAAAATTAAAATCTCTATAATCTTTAGTCTCTTATGAAATCTACCATTTTTAAATCATTTTCTCTCTCTCACCTTTAGTCAATAATTGTAACACCTCTCTTTTTCCATTCAATCCATCTTTTTCCTCTTAAATTCCCTTTGAATCCCCTCTCTCTAAAAGTAGGGGTGTAAATTAGATGAATTGAGTGGTTTAGGTTAAGGGTTAATTTAAATATGAATCATAGTTTAGACCCAAATTAATGTCAAAACCCAAATTTCCCACCAATATATAGGATGAGGCAATTTTGTTACTACATAAATGTCTAAAGAAACCATTTCTCCTTTCCATGGATTATCAAGTAGGGTATAAACGGTATTCAAAAATCCAATTTCAAATTCGATATTCAATATAGTCAAATTAAATTTGGATAATTCGAATATTTAATCGGTCGAGTTTGGATATTATATTTGATGTAACCGTTTCTGGCCACGTACTAATTTTTTTTCGTGATGTATCAATTTTTCGCTAAGTACTTCATCATTTGATGAGCTCTCTGGTGGTGAGCTACCTGGTGACGAGCTCCCTGGTGGTGAGCTACCTGGTCACGAGCTCCCTGGTGATGCGCAACCCAACTGCCCTCTGCATGAGGTGATCTCCTCTCCTTTGTAGGTGAAGGGAGCTGAGGGACCTGCGAGAACTCCATCGTTTCCTCCTCTTTGTAGGCAGCGGGAGCTGAGGAACCTGCGAGAACTGAATCAGAGGACCCAGGGGTATTTTCCTGGCGGGGACTCTCCGATGCCTAAGTTAGCATTCTGATTGTAGGGAGATTGGAGAGAAATGAGAGAGCTAGAGAGCAGGGATTACCTCCATTTTTTCATTCTCTCCCCCTTGTCTTTGGGAGTCAGAGTCCTTATATAGTGGTGTCTCTCTGCCGCAGCCATTACTGCCAGAGCTGAGGTGGCGGGTGCAGGCGGCTGCTACAGAGTACGGCTCTGCCAATCAATGGACAGCTCTCAGGACTGGCAGGCACGACGCCACCTAGCGAGAGACGTGGGTGCAGGTCTCCGGATCTGTCAGGTACGGTTGTCAGGCAGGAGATCTTCCTGCAATACGCCGAGCTGCCCCTAAGTGTCGAGCTACCTGTAAGTGCCAAGCTGCCCCTAAGTGTCGAGCTCTTCATAAGACGTCAGGCTGCCTGCGGAGTGGCTAGCTGCCTGTGGCGAGCTGCCTATGCCGAGCTACCTATAAGTGCCGAGCTGCCCCTAAGTGGCGAGCTCTTCGTAAGACGCCAAGCTGCCTGCGGAGTGGCTAGTTGCCTATGGCGAGCTGCCCCTAGCTATACCGAGCTCCCTGAGCTATGCCAAGCTGCCCGAGCTGCCTAGTTGTCAAGAGGCTGCACTTGGTTTGCATGAGGTGCCAGGTGTCACAATTTCACTGGAGGGCCAAATCCGCCCTCATCAATATTCATACTGAATAGTTAATCGGATATGGCCTAATTCGATTCGATAAATATCCGAATTCAATTGATTATTTAATTCTTATATAATATATAAAATAGTTTATATAATTTATATATAACAATTAAGTTATATAAATAATTTATATACCTTATATCAATAAAATATTTATTTTATATATTTATTAATTATCTAAAATAATTAATTAGTCGAATTCGAATCGAATCTTTGATTATTTAATCAGATTCGAATTCGGATATTAATTTTCAATACCTATTGAATATCAAATCGAATTTGGATATCAGATTTTTTTTAATCGGATTCGAATTTGGATATTGCTTGCCTAATCCAATCCGCTTACACCCCTATCATCAGGTTTTTTCTCTTTTTTTATTAATTTAACGTAAACTTAATTTAGGGATTGCTCCCGTTCAACAATAAAATGCAGTAAGAAAGCACATAATGTCAACCTTTGGTTATCTTCGTCAATTCAATTTTAACTTGGTTATTGATCTCTTGCTAAGGCCAATGTGAGTCCATTACAAATGGACCAAGTCCAATCCAATTTGATGAATTCTTTGGACCATTTTGGATTGATCCAATTCAATGTCTAGACCATCTGATCTGTTCAAATTGGTTCTAATTTAGATTTGTCCAAATCCAAACCTAATTCATTGAGATCGATACTCTTATCTTTTATCAATGGACTGAATATTAGTTTAACTGACCCAATCCAATATAAATCCATTACTGATGGACCAAGTCCAAGATAATCCAATAAATATTTTGGACCAATAAGTCTGGACTGGTCCAATTCAATATGTCTTATTGGTCCATCAAAATTGTATTATTTGGATGGGTCCAACTAGGGGTGGCAACGAGCCGAGCTTTTCACGAGCTGTTTGAGCTCGAGCTCAAGCCCAATTCAGTGGCTTGATTATTAAACGAGTCGAGCTCTTGAGCTCGGCTCATGAGGCTTGCCGGTATATATATAATAAAATTATAGAAAATAAATATATAAGAAAAATATTATAATTATTAATTATTATAATTCTTAATTTTTAAATATAAAATAATTTTTTCATATATAATTTTTATTTTTATAAAATATTTTTTTCTAAATATTTTTATAAAATATAAAACGAGCCGAGCTCGAGCTTATGAACTTTTGACTCGAGCTAAGCTCGAGCTCAAGGTTCTAGCTCGAACCGAGCTCGAGCCTTGTAGAATAGTCTTGAGCCGAGCTCAAGCCTGATACTATTCGGCTCGGCTCGGCTCGAATCCACCCCTAGGTCCAACACAAAACCAGTCCATTGACACCCCTAATTATGGTGTTGTTTGGTATTGGACAAGGCATTTCTACCATGTCATGTCATGTAGGCATTTTGCTCTCTCCCTCATTTTTTTCTTGTTTTGTTGAATGTTATCAAGCCATTTCAAGCAAATATTAGATGTCTTGGGTTTTGCTAAGGTTTGAAGAAAATGCCATTTTGACATTTTTTGCAATAGAATCAACGTTTCCTCCTTTGTCTATTAGTAAATGTGAACATGCGTTGCATGTGGCAATTTTAAGATAATAATTGTATTAACAATAATAAAGTAAAGATGTATTATTGGAAATGGCAAGCAAATTTACAATTCTTTTACTCGATTATGGAAATAAGGGTTGTACATATCTTCAGGGAGGCTAATAGGGTGGTGGATTGGCTTTCTAAGAAAGTAAGTGATTCTTTAGCTCATGGTATCTATCACTGTTTTCAAAACTGGACCGGACCAGACGGTTGGACCAAAAAAGCGGGAACCGGTTAGGTGACTGGTTCCGTTTCCCCCCAAAATCGGATTTTCTCAAAAAAAAAAACAATTGATTTTGGTAAACAAACCGCTGAACCGGGCGATTAACCGTTCAAACAAATTTGACCATTTTTAATTTTTTAAATAATTTAATTTTTTTGTCAGAACGGGCCAACCGTTCGACCTAGTAACCAAACCCCTGACTGG